AGCCCAAAAATTCCATCTCATTCTGGTGAAATTGACACTTCTCCAACTTGGCGTAGAGTCCTCGTTCGCGTAGTTTTTCAAGAACCAAACAAACGTGCTTCTCATGTTCTTCTTCATTCTTGGAAAATATCAAAATATCATCCAGATAGATGACAACAAAGTCATCGAGGTACTCCCAAAAGATATCGTTCATCATATGCTGAAAGACCGCTGGAGCATTGGTAAGACCAAAAGGCATGACATTGTACTCAAAATGGCCATACCTTGTACGAAAGGCTGTCTTCCATTCATCTCCTTCTTTGATTCGCACAAGGTTGTAGGCTCCTCTTAAATCAATCTTTGTAAAAATCCTTGCACGTCCAAGTTGATCTAAGAGGCCGGAGATCAAAGGTAAGGGATAGCGATTTTTCTTGGTCACCTTGTTGAGTCCTCGGTAGTCCACGCACATCCGCAGTGACCCATCCTTTTTCTTCACGAATAGGATTGGTGCTCCAGCTGGCGACTTTGAATGTCGAATAAAATTCTTGGCTAGATTCTCATCGATGTGCTTCCGCAATTCTGCCAACTCCGTCTGCGATAGGTTGTATAGTGGACCAAAAGGTGGTTGCGCTCCTTCCTCTAAGTCTATGGCGCAATCATATGGTCGATGTTCCGGCAGTATATCGGCGTTCTTCTTCTGAAACACGTCTTCAAAATCCCTATATTGCTCTGGTATATTCGATGTTGAGATATTCTCGCTGCTAGTTGGAGCTGCATAAATGACAAATGGTGCGCCTTCCTTGGACGATCTTAGGAACGCTCTCGCTCCAATAAACATGGATTTCTTCATGTAGGTTCTACCAACAGGTTTATTATTATTTTTTTCAGGAAATGTTATCCTTCGTAGCCTCCAATCAATGGACGGATTATGATCTTCTAACCAAGAAAGACCAAGGATAACAGGGCTTGATGGGGTTCTAATAATATTAAAAATAACGTGACTACTATGGTCCTTAAACACCACTTCTATAGGTTCTGATTCGTGGATAACGTTGCCTGACAATAAGGGTCGTCCATCTATCACCTCTACGTGAACAAGTTTGGACTTCTGTACTAAACGGATCTTATGGCGTTTAGCAAACTCTTCATCTAAAAAACAAGTAGATGCCCCCGAATCCAATAAAGCTAAAGTTTTTTGTTTTTGAGGGCCTAAAAACAAAGGAATTGTAAAACAACGGGCAGGTTGGACAGAGAAGGAGGAACCTGATTGTTGTCGTGATATTAGATTGTCCAGCCGCACGGTTCCTACTGTGGCTGGGCGTCGTCGTTTTCCGGAATCATCGCACTTCTAGTCTTGACAGGGTGCCAATTTTGCTTCTTTGGGCAATTTCCAACCTTGTGACCTTCTTCTCCACAGTACAAACATAACCCTTCCTCCATACGCCGTTTCTTCTCTGTTGGAGTAAGAGATCGGACACGCGTCGTGTCGATTTGCATGTCTGTTGCCTCCAAATGTGAGTTTAAGCTATTTGCAGACATAGTCACGTCGTAACGAGTCATTTGGTGTCTTGGACGTTGGTCTTGGCGACGCTGAAATAGGCGGTTGTCACACTTTACAGCTTGGCTAATAGCTTCGTTGAGCGTTTGAGCATCAGGAAGACATAACAACAAGTCCTTCACATCATCCTTCAAGCCCCAATAAAACTGACTCACCAACGCCTCTTCACCCCAATTAATGTCACTTGCCAATTGTCTGAAATCCGAGGCATAGACTGATGCAGAGCGTGTTCCTTGTCGTAGCGATTGGATCTTTGTTGTAGCCCATCGAACTTTATCATGCTCGCCAAATGCTTTTGCACACGCCTCCAAGAACGTTTCAAAGTTGCTCAGGATTGGCGATCGCTTCTCGAACAAGGGAGTAAACCAAGACAGAGCTTGTGCTGTAAGCAAGGTTCCAACAAGCCCAACACGCGCTTCCTCCGTCGGATAACGTTCGGGCTGTAAAATTGTTATCAACCTGATTTGGTTGACAAAACCTCGAAACTTGGAACGAGTTCCATCAAACTTATCCGGAAGACTAACTCGAGGCTCCTTTCGTTGTAGGACTACTCGATCTTGTTGAAATGGAGGTAGAACTGCTTCTTCTAATGCAGAAGTTTGAGGCTGATATGCTTTAGATGGCGCTATCCCAGATGCTCCATTGTTATGGAGTCCTACCATGACTCCTTCGATCTCTGTTGTCCTATGTGACAACGAGGCAAGAGCATTTATGATGGCATCTAGTTTGGATTCCAAACTTTCAGCCATTTTAACGTCTTAACCTTCGGCTAACCTTCAGAAAGAAGAAAAAAGAGTTTTGACAAGAGGACAATATTGGTTCAGAGGAGAGTACTCCGCAACCTCTAAAACGCCTTAAGACTCCAAGATGAGGGGTAATCCACTCTCTCCAAGAAGAATAAGGCTCCAATATTGAGAAAGAAGAGATATCAGTTTAGAGGAGGGTAATCCGCAACCTCTAAAACACTAGCACACCTTCAAGAAGAGGGGTAATCCACTCTCTAACAAGAAGGAACTAGCTTTGATACCAGTGAAAATGCAGTCTCGACAAACTGTCACGGACACAAAATACAGACTTGAAATCTAACAAGAAGTTCAAGAAGAAGTGGCAGAACTAGATTAAACAGATGAGTACAAGAACAACACCAGAAAGGTGAGCTAGAACTCCAAGAGATGTGTTGTCGAGACTGAAGAACCCTTCAGCCTCGACTCCTATATATACTACTGAATAGGAAGCTTCTCGAGCTACTTCCGCTAACTAGGACGCTTCTCCAACAACTTCTACTAATTAAGAAACTTCTCGAGAAACTTCTTAGAATCTATCAGAATATTCTAGAACCTTCTAAGAATCTTTAGGGAATATTCTAAGAATCTTCTAGAACCTTCTAAAGAAATCTTTAGAGAATCTTTAGAGAATATTCTAGAAGAATATTTGAAGAATCTTCCAATGTATGTCCATGACATAAGCATATAGTCAAAAGACTTGCTTGCAATGTCATAATGAGGCTATATCATTCCTAAAGTACAAAGATGCAATATTATAAAGATGTAGGTCCATAGAATTAAATGCACTATCACGAACATACACATGTAAATCAATAATTATCTATATAATTAGATAAAAGTAGGTAAAAGTAGGTTAATTCCATAATATCTTCTATAGAAGCTTTTTAGAAGCTTCATAGACACTGCTTTGACTTTATAGGTATCTATAATTGACTTTTTAGGTTAAAAACGTAGTCAATAAGTTGGCCATGTGCCATACATGTTGGTAGCTTGAAAAAAAAATTAACTATGTGGTTCAAATATAGAAAACTTGCCTTATAAGCTAAGGCATGTGTCTTGTAAAGTCAACACATAGTAGAGGTCCTATATAACATTGCCACGTAGCTTCTAGTTAAATTATATATATAAAGGTAAGAATGAAGCCCTCTTGATTCTTATAAATTCCTTTCTTGCTTCTAGTCTAAATTCAAGAGTCTCTAATTTTCTTGTCTTTTGGTAATAGCCATTATAGTTATTATTATTTTTTTTAATATGCATACTATTTTATTGCTATTTTAGCACTTTTCTTTTGACACAAATTTTCCAACTTTTTGCATCATCTTCTAATTTATGTCCTTGACAAATACTTAAATTAACTTTTAAGCAAGCAAAATTCTTCTACTACCCCAAAGAAGATGTAAACTTGCAATATTATCAAAATATTATTGCTTAAGTAAAGATGTGAGCTTGAGAGGTTCACAAAATGCTCTAAAAGTGAGCCCCCTCTATTTTTTATTCCTAGTTGAAAAGAAGCATGACAGAATCTGTGCAATCTACAGTTTAGGCTTAGGTGACAACTAAACAAGAAATATTTGTAGTATCTTATCACTAAGTAAGAATACAATTACTATTATCACAAATATGAGGGATATATTTGCTACTATCAAGAATATATGGACATACTTAATATTTTAGTATATTTGAAGAATATATATGATATTTTTCCTATGTTATAATATAATTCATTAAACTTATGACAATATATTAATCTATTAATGTTGATTCTATAATCAAACAAGAATTTTATTTCTTATTTTTTAATTAATTTTTTTTAATACATTCAAAATTATTATTATTATTATTTCTCTTTTTAAGTGTTAAATTCTAAATAAGTATAATTTTATTAATAAAATTCTACATATGATTTTTTTGAAAAACTTAACATTATACAATAGTTCTCTTATTTTTTTTATAACAAATTCAATGCATTTCTATAAATTAAAAAAATCGTATTTTTATTTTTATTTTTTTATTAAGATTATTTTTTGATTATGTAATAGTTTATATAATGACCAAACTAATACAAACTATTCTATATTTTAATCTAGTTACTACTCATTTGAAATTGCTAAATTTTTTTATAAAATTAATTCTACTTCCAATAGTTAAATACTATAAAGAAATTATAAAATTATTTTATAATTCTTGTGACTACAATTATATATTATTTAAATTAAATTTCTAATGTAGATATGAATACTCCTTTAAACTTAACATTATTCAATTCTTTGCACCTTTTATCTTTCAGTTTTATTTTGAAAAAAAATATTCAAAATATAAATAATGGAAATTGCAATCACTTATTTAAAAAAATGTGGTACTAAGATTATCATTATATTTGAATTTTAAACATTAAATTATCTACAATTTGTACATAAAAATAGATTTTACCACATTCAAACAGCCAAAACATTTTTGCAGTATTTTAAAGTGCGCTTTTTATAGAGATCCAACAAAACCGGCAACATCTATAATATTTAAACATAAAATGTTACAGTTTTTTCTAGGAAAGATTTAAGAAAAAGGTGGTGTTATTATTTTTTTTGTTATTTGTCAAATCAAATTTAGATTGAATTTAGAAACAGAATGCATAATGAACCTTGGAATTGGCCACAATAACAATGATGTGAAAATTCAAGTGAGAAAAATATACAATACTTGAAAATTGTGGGTTTTTCACTCCCTCCATGCACCTTACATATGTTTCGCAGCTGATGTCCCTGTGCATTGTCACTTGCACATGCTTGAACACTGTTATCGACACAGTAAATATAAATAAATAAACATTATATTACAATATCTGCCCTAATGCGTCCATCACAAATTCTATTCTAGGTCACCTTTAACCCACACCACTGTCGAAGACAATGTGATTAGACCTTCTCATCCCTCACTGCTACCATCCCACAACATACACAGACAATAGCTTCAACACAATATTGATCGTTGCAAAATGCTCCTGCTCCTCTGTACAAGCCAAACCTGGAGCAAACAACCACCCATTCTGATCCCCATTAACATAACAATCTCCACCCACTCTCAAACCCCCTCCACCTTGGTTAAAATTATAAATATATGAATCACATTCCTCCATCTCTTCACAACTTCACATCTCACCGTTCCCATCCTGTAACTCCTACACCAACTAGTCCCAACTCCGGGACTGTTATGCTAGTTCCCCAATAGTTGGCCCATTCCTCAAACATTCTTCCTCATCATTATAACGATGCAAGGCGTCTGATAAACAGGAGTCCACAATCCTCTGAAACATCCCATTAGAAAACATACCTTTCCCCCCCAATATTTCACTCTCCTGCTCATCTGCCACCACTATTGCAACGACTTCCCAGTACTTCACTTGCATTGCAAATCAGCGCTAATTCCAGAAGAGTCGACCACGGAAGTTGACGGACAATAATCTAGACCAGCGTCTCTACTTCACCCGAATAAATACGCTCCCCACGGAGTGAATAGGAAACTGAACAACTGGATATAGCTTTGCTGACGTACTCAAACTCAGTGATCGCTGTCGAAACTCGTCACAAACAGACCAAACTTAGAATCCCGATAAAGAACTAGTCGAAAGCCTCCTGAATAAAACCAGATCATACGTGCATCATGTAACATGCACTTCACCGCTTCCAATACTAAGGTGCACTTCGCATCAAAAACCTCAGAACCGATTTATGTACATACTAAGCGGGAGAAAATAAAGCACATCTTCAAAAGAACTTGAAAGGTTCGAAGGAACCGATTCAATTGACATCAACTAAGTCAGACTAGATTATCCAACCACCTGTGAAATAATGGTTCACAACCAAACCAAAAAAGCTCCTTGTATATATGTATATATATTCAAAACGGCGGGCAGCAGGTGGGAAGACGAAAGGTAAGGGATAAAAAAAGATTAGACATAGGTTCGTGGAACCATTTGAAAAACACACGATGTAAAACTCTCTCGCATCCACAAGACACGCATAATCGATACCGCCGTTTCACAATTGCTGATGTCACCACACCTCAGTTTCCACCTTATTCCGACATGACTTCTCGTCTGTCGCAGTTGCCCCCAAGATCTCCTCCACTTCTCTACCAACTCTTCTCACGTTCGGTGCCTCCGCTACCTCCACTTCATCGCCACCCTCCGTCTTCCACCCCCACCCTACATTCTAAATACCTCCCACAGCCCACCTAATACCTACCCTAAATCATCTCCCACCCACCAGCATTGTCGCCAACACCCTCCCCACCGCTGTTCCCTCTGCATCCTCCTCAATTCATCTCCTCAATTCGCCCCCTCCGCGCATCCCAATTCTAGTTCACCACATCGAACACCAGCTTCCTCGACTTTATCGGTGCCCACCTAAACCTCTTGTAGTACGCCGCTTGCAGCAGCGCCAAACTCAGCACGAAGATCCACTTCGCTCCTGCCAGCTTCCGCTCGTCCATCTCCGGCTCCGCTGCCCACGACAAAAATGTCACCACGTCCTTCGCCATCTGCGACTCCGTCGCCGCCGTCCCGTCCTCGTACTCCACACCCCCGTCCGTCAGCATCTTCGGCATCGCGATCGCGCCCCCGGGAAAGTACGGATTGTAGTGCAAACCCTCCCGCACCGACACTCCCGCAGGCGGCTCGCGGTACCCCAGCAGCAACGCATACACGTAATTCTGCCCGTCGTGACGCGCCTTCGTGATCAAGCTCAAGTCCGGCGGGTACGCCCCGCCGTTCGCGAATCGAGCAGCCGACTCGTTCGGATAAGGATTCTGGAAATGGTCGCTTGGCTTGCCAGGCCGCATGTACATCTCGCCCTCGTCATTCGGACCATCCTCCACTTCCACCTCCGCGGCCAGGCACTTCACCTCATCTTCAGTGTACGCCACCCCGATCAAGTCTCGATACGCCACCAGAGACGCGGTGTGGCACGCCGCGCACACCTGCTGGAAAACCTGGTGCCCCCGCCGGATCGAAGCGTGGTCGTACCCGCTCAGCACGCCGTTGTGCGACCATGGGTACTGCGGTGGCGCCAGCCCGTGCTCCGCCTCATCGGCGTACGCCACACCTGCCAGCCCGAGAAGCCCCGTGGTGCCGGCGCCCACCAGCGCCAGCCCTCGAAATCCCCTCACCCCATAACCCTCACCATTGCCTTCCTGCTGCTGCGCGCTCGCTCCCAACGCGCGCACCACTCCGGCCTCCGCATCACCGCCATGCCTCTGCTTCAACGCACGCGCCGCTCGCGACAGCGCCCGCACCACGGGGCCCGATGCTCCCCGCCCCGCCATCGCCACCTCTGCTCTGCACTCCCTCCGCGAGCAAATGCAACTCGTCGAGAGGACTGAATTTGTGTCTGGCACTGAATTCCAGTGAGGACCTGAAGCCGTGGGGAGGGGGGAAGAAGCAGTAGAAGAAGAAGCAATAGACGAAGCACGAGTTCGGTTCCGTCGCTAAGCCTCGTCGTCGTTGAGGATTAGGACGTGAAATGAGGGACATGGGGTTCCGGTTTGTGGGTTCTCGTCCATCCTCCCGACGACTCGTCGCCGTTCGTTATGCGCTGTGGTCCAATCTGAGCTGTTCTCGTGCTCCGTGTTCGTTGCCCCTCTGGAGTTCCAAAAACCATTTGGTGTAAGGTTCGCATTTGGTGAGAGTTGCAAGGTAGCATACCGATTCACAACAAACTGTGAACTACCTCTTTGTGGGATTTCTCGTTAGCACGTCACACCCCTGAAGAATGTGCCCAGAAAAAAAAAGCATTCCTTTACGGTTGCAACAAACGCCTGAGCATTTGTGGGTTCTCGTCTAAAAAAAGAAGATTAAAATTAAAATTAAATCTAAGGAATGATGAAGTAAGTGTTAACCTTTTCGAACCAAAATTGATGCGTATGTATACAAGGCAAAAAAGGAACTCTATTTTTTAATCAGAGAACATGGTAAAGTGAGGTATAAATGAATATAATATACGCTTCAATATTGTATAAATGAAGAATTAAGTAAATAAAGGAAACACCGTCGCTGACATACTTGTCACGGTGAATTTGGTCATGAGCTTCGTCGCCATCAGACTCTGACCAGGAAATGTGTGGTCAGCTCAGAACTAGAAGTATTAGCAAACCTTGTGAACTGGCCAGACATGTGGCGTCTGTGATTATCATGTTTTGTTTGTTCGTTTGTTTAAAATAAATGCTTTGAAATAGAAGCAAAGCCACCTTTGTGTTGGCACATTGGATTAAAGCAAACGTATGAGCAAGAGAAATAAAATAAAATAAGACTTGCCTAAAGCACACTAAGTCTTGAAATTTTTGAAAATTATTATTCACTCTGCAAAATCAATTAAATTCCATCTATTACTATACATATTTTTCAGCATTTTTTTGGTCGCCCATGATTTGTTCCACCTTGTAAAAAAAAATACCATTGTTTGATTGTTGTTTAATTTTTCTACATATGATTTTCAACCAGACCTAATCATATTCTATCAAGTTGGATAAAATCAAATCTCTAGTATAGAGGTGACTTCACACTTTTATGTTTAAATACAAGCTTGCTTCATTGCATCTAAATAGAGTATAGGCATAACCTCCTTAATAGTAATTATATGGTAGAAGCTTTTAAATTCAAGTTGCTAGATACATTTAAGATAATATTGAATATCAAAACCATCATCACATGGTCTAAAATGACCTTAAATTATGAGATGTCAATATGAGATATCTAAAGCAAATGCAGCAATTATGGATTTGATTCCTTCCAATAATACCTCTTTTATACTTGATAGAATTCTATGGCTTAGATCAAATGGTTTTTGGAATTACAAATTTCACTACCACCATTCCATACCAAATGGTTTTTGGAATAGCAAATTTTGTTGTATTTGATGGATTGGTATACAACTATGCTTTTAAAATTTGGTTTGAAATTATGGATGTGATTAAATGGGTGAAGTGGGATTTTTGAAGACTTAGATATGAAATTAAATAGGACAATGGTGACAATGATTACTTGAGACAAAAAGAGAGAAGAAAGGGGGAGAGAGGAGAGAAAGAAGAAAAAAGGGGATTAAAAACAAAAACCTAGGATAAGGATTGGAAACAAGGATGGATATTGGAAACAAAGACAAGAGAGAGAGAGAGAGAGAGAGAGGGTTAAAACAAAGATTGGAAACAAGGACGAGAGACAAAGGTTGGAAATAGGGATGGATGTTGGAAATAGAAACAAAGAAGGAAGGATTGGAATGGAAGATGAAAGGATATAATGATGGTTTTGATTCGTGAATTTATTTAGTAAAAATCAATGTCAATTTAATATTATTTATTATATATTACAGATTTTTTATTATTACTTTTATTTATTTATTTATATTTTTAAAATAATTAAAAATAAAATTATGATGTAATTATTACATTGCTATCAATGACATGCATCACAAACAACCAAAATGTCATTATACTTTTATATCACTTAATGTCAAGGATATGAGCTTCAAAGAATTAAAAGATCAATACATTCTTGTGTCACTTGAAAAGACTAAAAAATCACTAAAAGATGATGTAATGTTAAACTAAAAAAGCGTTTGTTAAAGACAAAAATACTACAAAGTCTTGAAACAAGATTAAGGACTAGAAAGCTGTTAACAAGAGTAAAGTAGGCTTCATTCTTGCCTCCATATATACTAACTAACTAGGAGCTATATGGTGATGTTCTATAGGACCTCCAACATGTGTTAACTTTGTAAAATATATCTTAACTTGCAAGGTAAGTTTTCTATAAGTGTGCCATATAGTTAGCTTATTCTACAAGCTATCAATATGTGTGACATATGATTAACTTGTTGAGTAAGTTTTTAACCTATTAATCAATTATAAACATGTGTAAAGTCAAAATCATATCTATGAAGCTTTTAAGAAGCTTTTATAGAAGATATCATGAAATTATTTACTTTTACTTACTTTTAATTAAGTACAAAGATAAATATTGGAATAAATATGTATGCCCATGACATTATTCACTACATACTCTGATTTTTTTCCTCTTCAAAGATGATTGATAGGGCCTTTCAACCATCGATAGTGTTCCATACTAGGGCGGAAAGACCATCCAGTTATTTGATCATTATTAAGGCCTTCATAACTTCCTTCAAATATAACATTTAGAACATCGTCAGGAGTTGTTTCTACCTCTAATAAAATCACCAAACATCGAGAGTCCCTTCTAAGGTCATGATACCAAACACGTTTTATCTCGCCATCTATTTGAAGAAGAACATATTGTTCTTCACGATCTTCATCTTGATTACGTCATCTTGAAGATTGTAACAATCGTAATGTCATGTCCAACAGTCAGTAAATGAAGGTTCTTTAGTTGAACCCGTTGGTTGTTGGTTTTCCATCTCCTTAGCATCATAATTACAAAGAAGCTACAAACAAGGATTGTAAGTAGAATGTTATCTTGCCTAGATCTTAATTCTTTTATAAGGAAGGATTTCATCTTGATTTTGATGGATGTTGTTGATGAAAAGCCTCCACGACCTTTGTTGCATTTACAAGATTCTTTATTGGCTCTCATGTGTGTTTACTAATATCATATCTCTGCCAATAGATAAGATATTCTAATTTATTTCAACGTTGCCTTGAAGCTAGGACTTCTTGTACTTTGAATTCTTCATTATTGTCTACTTCTATAGGAAGAGGTGAAGCTTGTTTTCTTCTTGATATGTCCATTGTCTTGTATGGTTCAAGAAGAGAGACATGGAATATTGAATGGATTTTCATTGAGCCTGGTAGGTGCAAACGATATGCAACTAGATTGATTTGTACAAAAATAAAAAATAGTTTTAGCCTTTGATAGTCCAACTTGTCACAAGGACAAGTAGTCTTGATATTGCAATAAAGTAACCATACCTTGTTACCCATGACATACATATTTATTCCAATATTTATCCATGACTTTTCAATAATAGGAAATTATGGATACAATATAACTTTGGAACTAATATCCAGGGATTTTTGGTGGCTACAAATGTGGAAGGCAGTCAAAGATTTTGTACAATCTTTTGATGTTTGTTCAAGATCAAAAACTCTTTGTCATCGACCTTGCGGACTTCTTCAACCATTACTTTTTCCAAAATAACCATGGTCTTTTGTTTCTATGGATTTCATCATAGATCTTCTGATCTCAAGTGTTTATGACTCTATATTCATGATAGTAGATTGTTTTACCCAGATGACATATTTTGTACCATATATAAAATCTATCAGAGGTGAAGAAACAACTAAGCTCTTTCTTGATAACATCTATGGCTATCATGGATTACCTAAAGATATTATATCGAACTTGTTTAATGAAAGTTGAATCAATAATTAGTGTTGATTTCATTGCTCAAAGATGTAGATGCTTTGGCTTCAAAAGAATTCTCCGTTATTGATTAAAAGGAGCATTTCATTCCTTTGGTGTAAGGTAAGTTCGTTTAGAGAGTACATCTGACAAATCTTGTTGTTTTTCGATCGATAAGTGATCTTGAATTCAAATCTTGACAAAGACATACTCCAAGAGGCTTGGCGATGATTCAAAACACGTGTTGACATAAAATATTCAAGATTCTTGTGATCCATATACACAGTGATTGGACTAGGAGCACCTTCTAGATAATGGCACCATTCTTAAAATGAATCCATGATTACAAGAAGTTCTTTGTTGTGGATCTTGTAGTTAATCTTGTCTATTGAAAATTTTTTGGAATGAAAAGCTACTCGGTGAAATTATCATCTGTTTCCATTTGTGACAATACGACACCAAAAGCAAAGTTTGATGCATATATTTCTATAAAAAATGGCTTAGAAAAATCAACACAATACAAGATTGGTGCAGAAAAAAAGGTTGTCTTCTAAGCTTCAAATGCTACTTCCACTTCTTAATTCCATTGAAGTTTGTCTTTACAAGTCAAACATGTAAGTAGAGCTGCAACTTGAGAGAAGTCTTTGATGAAGATCCGATAATAGTTGGCAAATCTCAAAAAGCATTAGACATCTCTTATCATTTTTGAGATGTTCAAATCCATAATAGCTTAAATTTTCTTAGGATCCATCAGAAGTCCATCATTTGAAATGATGTATCCCAAGAAGTTGACTTGAGTGGTGTGAAATATACACTTTTCTATCTTGGCATAGATTTGCAAATCTCTTAGTTTTTGTAACACATGACGAACATGAAGTTTATATTCTTCTGTTTTCTTAAAATAAATTAAGATGTTCTATAGGTAACAAACAATAAAATCATCTAAAATCTTCCAAAAGATATCATTCATTAGATGTTGGAATGCTGCTGGTGCATTTCTAAGTCCAAAAGGCATGACGTTGTATTTTAAATGTCCA